CAGTATATGAGTATAACTGTGTACATCTGACTGTATCTGACTGTCTTCGCCCTGCAGTGAGTCGGCACATAACATCATCCAAGCATCGGCGTCATATTACAGGATGTGCAAGGGACGTGTGCATGAAGAGCATAGAGATCCCAGCAGCAACCACTGGCTACCAGGGACTGAGGATCCACTCTAGCCCTCCCAGAGAAAGGTAGGGAGGCTGGGTGGACCTCTTAATTATTAAATGTGTGTATGTATGTGATGTTTGCGTGTGTATATCTAATTATGTGTGTTTGTAATTATAATAGTGTGGGTCTGTGATTGTGTATCTCTGTAGTTAAGTGTGTGTGTGTGTGTGTGTGTGTATATATATATATATATATACACACACACACACACACTTAATACAGAGATACACATCACATCCAACCTACAATTACAAACAGACATAATTAGATATACACACGCAAACATCACATACATACACGTATACCTGTGTATGTATGTGTATATTGTGTGTGTATATAAATGTGTACACACACACACACACACACACACACACTCACAGATATACACACACAGACAAACACCTATTGTGTTATTGTGTGTGTATATAAATGTGTATGTGTTTGGTACATAGCTCCCTTATTTGGTGTCCTTAAATATTGCAATCCCACATAAGGATAACAAATAAAGGCATTATCTACTAAACAAATGAAATTAAGAAAAAGGTATGTTTAGTTGATAATTCTCTAAATTGGTGTCCTTATGTGAGATTTCCATATTTAAAGATACCAAATTAGGGTGCTGTTTAGCAGATATCTCCCTTATCCTTATTTGGTGTCCTTAAATATGGCAATCCCACATAAGGATAGCAAATAAGGGAGTTATCTGATAAACAAAGATCGACGTTAAGAGGTGTCAGCTAGCCCACGAACAAGAAATCTGGGTGGCTAATGTGAATTATATGCAAATTTGTTGACTGATGCCAATGTGCACTGCATGCTGGCATCAGGCAGCCAATGGCAGCACATTACCCCATCCCCTAGTGAAAAGTTTTAGTGCCCCCCAGTTTGGATTGTGGTATCTTATGTGCCCACCCCCTATATATTGTTCCTATGTGTCTATGTATCTGCATGTGTGTCAGTGTGTATTTAGGTGTGTTTGTGTATATGTGCATACATCTCAGAATCTCGCCAACACTACACACAAATACACCCCTGTATTTCAACATCAACACTACATACAAACTCCACCATTATATATAACCACACCACTGCCTTCAAACACCACACTACATAAAAATGCATGCCTGCATTCAAACGCCAACACCACATACAGACACACATCCTACATTCACTCAAACATACTCCATACAAAAACATGCTTACATTTAAAAGCATAAACACTGCTTAGTGCTCAATACATTTATTTATTTTTAAATTGTGGTTGTTTTTTTACATTTTAAAGTTGGGGGGTGGAGGGGGGGTGCCAAAAATAGGACCCACCCCGTGTGCCAAATGCTCTAGGTACGCCGCTGTTTGTATGTTTTACAGAGATTTATAATTTTAATGTATTTTATATTTTTTCCAATAGGAGGTGTGTAAAGAATTTTCCATTGAAGACATAATTTCAGTGAGGACAACTCAAGTGAGAGAATGTCTCATTCCTGGGTTCCAAAAAAAATAACCTTATCGCTCTCCGCGTAGTCTCTATGTTTGTCACTACCAGATAGTCTCTTAAATGATAGAACCTTCTATATGAAAATAATGTCCTAGATTCTAAAAGTACAGCTGTAGATGTTTACATCTCTGAACGTAGGTCTGATGCTTGAGAACATAGCCATGCAAAAGGTGATAAAAAAGGACATTCTCTCTATTCTATCCTTCCTATAGACCCAGCCCATTAACGTGTTTCCTCTGTACGGGGCATTCCATTCACATGCATCTCCTTTTATTCTTTTGAGCTACTCTATAAATCCCTGCTGTATTGTAAAGAGAACAAACAGTGATATGTCATGTGATAGGCTGGGATGCTGGGAACGTCCTCTTCCTTTTCATAAAAAATAGATGGCGTAGCAGCAAGCATTTTTTCACAGTTCCCAGGAGGTTAAAGGAATACATCAATCACCATAATTGTTACAGCACACTGCAGTGGTTATGGTACCAGGAGTATCCTGACACCTTCTCTTGTAAGTAGTCAAACCATTTGCTAACGGTTTGACTTCTTTCCTGTGGCCCACTGGGTGCCGCTCTATGCCTCTCAGAATTGGTGCAGAGCTCATAGCTCATTGACAACGAGAGACCAGCTGCCACTTCAGCCAATGAGCTGGCCTTGCACAGAGTGGGAGCTTCCGTCTCTCAGATCAGACAAGAAGGGGCAGGGAGAGCGCCCAGCAGACCGCAAGTAAAGAAGTCAAACTGTTATAAAAAATGGTTTCACTGCTCATAACAGCAGTGTTTCAAGGCTCACCTAGCACCATAACTACTACCTTGCACTGATGTTATGGTACTTGACGTGTTCCATTAAGTTTTGTGCAAAAGGATGCTGATTATACAAATTAATGATGGATAGGAAAAGGGGAGGAAAGATTTTTTTTAAATCTTTCATATTATAATCTCTGATAGTTTAAGATTTAGGCCATGAGCACATTCTGGTGTTGAGCTCCAGTTCTCATCACTCTGTGCCTTGTAGACTGGAGTAGTGTTGTATTCTGTCCTAGAATAATGTACACACCTATATAGCAGTGTCATGGAATTAGGAAATTAGCAACTGATTAGAAAAACTGAATAGTTTTTAAAGAGTATTTATGTGACTACTTAATTCAAATTAAACTAATTCTAAATGTGCTTTATTTGTGATTTCCACATTTTTTTATGCTCAACTCTTGGAAACCTGCTCCAGAAATTGGCTATCAATCTGCAGAGTAACGTGATTAATGTGATACAAGACGTTTTTATTAGCACATTAGCTTTCATTCACGGATATCTCTTCCTCGGATTGGAGTGATCAGCAGAACTGTCACCGCACTATTTTCTGAGAATGTTTCATTTGCGTCCATGAGACAGATTGCTTTCTACACATCATGCAATCCACTCTATATTTAAAAGTCTTAATCAGGTTTTCCAATTAAGCAAATAAGGGGTTATCTCAGCATCAAGTCAAATTCTCAGTAGTTAAAATGTCCTACTGCTCTTGTGTTCTGAATCTCTACCATTTGACAATAAGATCCATTGAAAGCATTATTCAACTGTGATAAAGGCTTGGGTATTTAATCTATATAGATTGTACACATTGCAAAGAGAAATGAGGTGACTATTGATAGATTCTTGTGTGTAGGACTATGCAGCATTTTAAAAGGCCACACACCTTCTTTTTGTAAGGGTCCTATGTGGTTTTTGGCAGCACAGATGTATTTTGTAGTTTAGTACATTTTTCAGATGCAGATTTTTGTTATTTCATATCTTTGAGGAGTGCTGGATTTAAACCCAGTTTTGGTCTACTTTTTCACCGTGTTCCAGCCATCTGGGACTCTAGAGAAAAGTCTTTGCTGAGAAACAGTATAACGCAGTCCAATGGAGACAAATAGGCAGAGGAGGGCCTTGACAGTTGTGCTGAGCAAGGCTGTATAGATTGGTGGCTATAGAAAGGGGGGATGGGCATTGGGAAGAGCATGTAGAGGCTGGTGTAACATGATACACTCCAGCCATTTTAGTTTTGCAACTGTCCCCTCTTGCTGTTGTCCCTTCCTCCCTAGTTTGGTAGTTTATGGGGTTTGGGGTGTTGGGGTGCAACCTCCACGTTTTGCCGGTGTTTCGTCACAAGGACAGCAGTGCCGAAGGAGATCGTTGTTGAAGCCTTGGGGTGGCTTGCTCCTGGGATGGTCTATGGCCTCAAAATGTAGGCTGGGTCAAAAGAGGGGCTCAAAGCCAAAATGGGGGCTGGACAGGTAGTTCTGTTGCAGTGCTCAGATCGGCAGTACCAGAGGAGATCGTTGTCGCAGCCTTGGCAGTAGCTTGCTCCTGGGGATGGTTTTTGGCCTTACAATGAGGATGTGGTGATATCTTAATGGAGGCTTGGTGAGCGGTTTTGAGCCAAAAGAGGAGCTTTTAGCCTAAATGGGGGACTGGGCAGACGGTTCTGTTCCAGCAGTTGGATCGGTTCCAACAGGTGGGTCCCTGGGAGCAAGCTGGTGCTGGAAAGGTTAAATTGTTAATGGTTAATTATACTAATTACAGTCTGGAAGTTATTTAGGGTTATGTTAACCCTGTGTTAAAAGCATTGTCAGTGGCCTTTTCTACCCAGTACGTCTGTGCCTTGTGGATTGATTTACAGTAGACACAACCTGGTAGTCGAGGCTACAATTGTCAGGGCTATAATAGATGGACTCACACTGCACAGAGTGTACGTAAAGACTGCTGCAGCTTCTAATACCCAACCCTTTTCTCAACTGATGGAACTCTTTTTCACACAGGCCATCCCACCATCAATTAACAGCATGCCCACCCTTTGGGCCCTTATTCCTGTCCCAAGTTCTTACCACCCAATGATGAAGGACAGGACTTTACTATCTAAAGGATTTTGTCAGGTGTAGGGACAGTTCAAATTAGGATTTGGACACCAGCAGCTATGGTAACAAGGGACAAATCTTCTTTAAAAAATGGTAACAAACAGACAGAACTCAAAGGCAGTAACAGGAATTAAAATGGAACAGGACCCCAAAATCGGGACTGTCCCAATGACATTGAACATTGAGAACATTGAGAGGCATGCTATAGTTTCCTTCTAACTAGTTAGATGACCACCTGCCCACTGTTTCTACTAAATAAAGACATTTTACTTACCTTTTCTCCCTGGGGTCCCACATCCAAGGCTGAAAGCATTAGAAAAGCATAGGAAAGCCATCTATACGTTGTGCCAACAAAAGGGAGTTTTACAGGGACATTTTTGGCACCATAATCATCCCTTGACCTGCACCCAGCACATATCATCCCAATTCAATGCCTCACATTGAAAGTCAATGATTCCATATAAGAAGTATTAGATCTGTGACACTAGTGGTAGCTATGCGTGTGACATATGTCCTTAGTGTTTCTTTATAAGAAGCATTTGATTTGATCAGAATAAGCAGATCAGATTTGGATGAAGAGGCTATTATAACACTAGAATAACGATAAGTCTAATAGTTTAGTTTTTTTAATGTTTAAATAAAAAAGCAAGAAACCTTGCTTCCCTTTAACTTGTGTGTTGATTACGGGGGCCTGTCATACCCTGCGGTGGAAACTCTTTAGCCAGCGCTTCTAGTGCTGACTACGGAGTATGGGAACGGAGTTACACGTTGTCATTACGTTTCAACACCGCCATGTTGGCAACGAAGCCAGCGTGCTGACGTCACTGATGAGATTTGCTCTGCTTGGGGATCAGAGACCTTGGAGGAGCCGAGATGGAGCGAAGGACGGCCAGGAGGTGGGTGTTCCAAGAAGAGTAACATCCACGAAGCGGCGCTGGAACGGAGGAAAATTGAGTAATCCTCTATATTTTACATTGAATACAGCATGTACCATTATCATATGTGGTATATTTAATGTATATGGAGGCAATTTCAGGAAATTTGATTTTTTTTTTTCAGGTCTACGGTTTTCTATAAACTCTGATAACCCACTTCCTGCCATGCATGGGTTCTCTTGTATCTCTAAAAGCATGATTAGTTTATGTTGAATTTCATGGGAGTGCAGCCATTCAGAAAGGAAGCTACACCTTTACCAGCAAATATGGATTTTCTGTGTAAAGGCAAATTAATTACTGGAAGTCCTAAAGTCATAAACTGCTGTTAATGGAATGCTGGAATTCCAGTTACTCAGGTTATCGGCTGCTAGTCTGGGGTCAGGTGCACACAGAACTGATTGAGTCTATTAACCCAGAACAATCAATGCAGTTTGAGTAGAATGCTTCATAAGATCCCAGATTCATGATGTCACTATAATGATATCCATTCACACCTAATATTCCAATCTCAAACCTGATGTGTCTTTTTTTAAAGCCTCAAATTTCAACATCGTTACTCCCCATTTCCCTCAAAAGATGCTTAATTTCAAAGTTAAATATGAGGAAAAGTAAGGGCTTCTTATTCTTCCTTGTGTATAACTCAAAGGTTGACCTAGTTCACAAGGGGTGAAGGTTTAGTCATGCTCCAATGCCTTTGTAAACTTTGTCATTGGCCCTGTATCCGTGTGCTCAAATCCCCCACTGTGCGTCATGTCCTGTAGTGGCGCCATCAATGCTCTCTTAGTCACTGCTCCTCTCAGATCGCTCACAACCAGCTATGGGCATGGTATTCTATTACATTCTTAGAGATTTGATGATGGCGGCACATATTATTATTATTATTATTATTGGTATTTATATATGAGGACCATGCATGAAAGAGCTTACAATCAAGAGACAGTTGGGTATAAAAAAAACATCAAGGATAGCAGCCGAGTGACAGGGTGAGAAAGTAG